GAATAGAATTCAGAATAGAATAGAATAAGAGCAGAATAGAATAGAATAGAATTCAGAATAGAATAGAATAAGAGCAGAATAGAATAGAACAGAACAGAATAGAATTCAGAATAGAATAGAATAGAATAGAATTCAGAATAGAATAGAAATTTAGAATGGAATGGAAATGGAAATAGGAGCTAGAAGGGACCCTGGAGGTCCTCTAGTCCAGCCCCCTTGTCAAGCAGGAGAGCCTATTCCTCCTCAGGCAAGCGATTGTCCAGTCTCTTCTTAAAAACTTCCAGGGATGGAGCGCCCACGGTTTATGAAAGCAATAGTTCGGTTTTATCCCTTACGCTACTTGGGGGAACCTGAACAGGTTGAGAGTTAAGAATGCCTCTGTGTATAAGACCAATAAGGGGCAAGTGAAGTCTCTTAGCGGATAATGTTGTGTGAATGTAGAGAGAAACGCCAAGCCCGGCCCTCCTGCTGGTTATGTCGGTTACTACCAGAAACATGACTTCTTTTCAGGCCAACGACAAAGCCAAGAAGATGGTTTTGTTCTGGCAATTTAAAAGTTTGATCTAGACATGGAAGAAGAAGGAAAAAGATTGCCATTGTTGTCTTGCTAGAGACTTTTTCTTGCCTTGGCAATCCTGGTCTGTTGCAATCTTGGTCTGTTGCAGCATCTCCCTCCCAGCTGCTCCCTGCCTACACTTGGAGAATAAGAGCAAGATAGCCAGTGCATCTTGGACTGGTAAAGAGTCCAGACTAGCACCCCCGAAATCTGTCCCTAAGCGGGGACTAGAACTCTCCATCTCCTGGTGATTGGCCCAAAGTCACCCAGGTGGCTTTCATGCCTAAGGCGGGACTAGAACTCCCCGTCTCCTGGTGATTGGCCCAAAGTCACCCAATTGGCTCCGTCTCCTGGAGCGAGAGAGACTTTCAGCTCCATGCAAGGAAAGCAGCAGAAGCCGCAGAAGTCTTTCTTTCTCTCCCCCCAAACTCCGCCAGAAATGAGTCTTTGCCGGCGCAGCCTCTTGGAGCTGGAGGCCTTGCAGGGCCCAAAAGACTCGTTTCTGGTGGCGTTTGGGGGAGAGAAAGAAAGACTTTTGCTGCTTTCCTTGCGTGCAGCCAAAAGCGGAAGAAGGAAGAAGCGGAAAGCAGCATCCCGATGACAAAGCAAAGCAAAGCAAAACAGACAAGTGAATGGCTACAGGGAGGCAGTTTGAGGGTAAAGGCTCACCTTTTTTCCATGTTTTTCTTGGGAGAAATTCTATACATGCTTCCTAGTGGGCTAAGGATTAGGAGGGGGAAAGATACCCCCAATGTCTCCGTCTTAATGACTGCCACGGTTTTATCGATTCCTGTTCTAGCAACATAACACACTGTTCCCTGGGCGGCCTTGTGACACAGAGCCATAAAAATTAAAATGCAACCATCAATCAGGAGGGAGGAATAAAAAAATAAATCACGCAGCATATAAATTGTAGCGGCAGGCAGTAAAACCAAGCCACCGAAGCCAACCTTCTTGGCCCAGAGCAGAAATATAAAAGCAATGGGAAACGAAAGAGGGGAAGAAAGAAGTTTAGCTGCTTAAAAACTAGAAGAGGTTTGAAGAGTACAGATAAGAAACAGTCAATCCAGGATTAAGGCCACTCGGGATGTAAGATTGAAAGCAAGCTCCTTCCCAATGATTTCTGATATTGAGTGGTTCGGGATTTTCAATATCTATTTAACGCGCTGCGTAAAATATTAACCGTTAGTTCGATCCCCGTGCTTTGCTACGAAACTATGTGGTCGGGCTTAGTTTGGGGGGGAGGAAAATAAGGGGAGAAAATTCTGCCTCTGCCTACCAGCATCCATCGGTGTTCATCTGGCTAGCGTCCAGTCAGTGTGTGAGAGAGTTGAGGGCTGTTTGGAAAATGAAAGAGTATTTGCTGTGTGAGTAATCAAGGAGAGAAGCAACCTGGAATTTAAAGGAGAAGTTTGCTGACAGTTGAGAACAATTAACCGGTGGGACTGCTTGCCACTAGAAGTTGTGGGTGCTCCATCACTGGAGGTTTTCAAGGAGAGATTGGGCAGCCATTTCCCTGGAATGCTTGAGCAGGCGGGGTTGGAGTAGGAGACCCCTTTCCAAGTCTGTTATTCTGTAACCTGTTTCTCACGTCACCCTTCTCTTACCTTGTACCTGCATGTTCAGCTTCTCGAGATCCACCCCCGTCATGTGAGAAAATCTGCAGTTGGAGCCAAAATCACAGTGGCCTGTAAGGAAGAGATCAAGCATTCATTCATTAATCAAGAGCCTCGGGGGCGCAGTGGTCAGAGTGCGGTACTGCAGGCTACTTCTGCCGGCTGCTGGCTGCCTGTAATTTGTCAGGTCGAATCTCACCAGGCTCAAGGTTGACTCAACCTTCCCTCCTCCCGAGGTGGGTAAAACGAGGACCCAGATTGTTGGGGGCAAGAGGCTGACTCTATAAACTGCTTAGAGAGGGCCGTAAAGCACTATATAAGTCAAAGTGCTGTTGCTATTGCTATTAATCTACTGGGAGATTACCCAGAGAGTGAAAAAAAAACCAAGCCATTATTATAAACAAGCCAGGATGGATAAATTCTCACGACCTTGCCAGGAATCAAAACATTCAACTGTTAACATGACATTAGCTTGTCCTGCATATCCCAAAGTTGCTTTTTTCCACCCCCACAAGAGGCAGCTGGATTTCCTTGTTTTTCCTTTGAAGACGTTTCGCTTCTCCCCCAAGGAGCTTCTTCGGCTCTGACTGGACGGTGAGGAAGGGAAGGATTGATGCTCCTTGCAGACAGCTGGTCATTTGCATCCTTTGAGAGGGTCGTTGAGACCACTTGGAGGTTTAATCTATGTCCTCGGAGACTGGGAATGTCCACAGACACTTGTCTGGCGTACCTGTTTGCAAAAATTTCCGACAGGGTTTCTTTGTCTGTTCCTCTTGTAAGATGGTTGCAGCATCTGTAAAGAAAGAAAAATAAAATCACCAACAGAAGGAGGAGGAAGAGCTGGATTGTATTTTAAAAAGAGAACGGCTGTGATTCCAACAACAGATTCCTTTGGTTTGCAAGCTGCCGCGCTGCACCCGCTTTCTCCCTTTCTGTTGGCAACTCTACAAAAGACCATAGAAATATTTTACGAGTTGACATTGGTGTCTGAAAGATATCGGCCTGGCCCCTCTCCAAGACTGATAAAGGTTTGTAATTGGGAACTATCGTGAAAGGCTGTTGGCCAGGACTTTGCTGGAGAGGAAATCCATTGTAAATCAAATAAAAGGGGTTGAGGACTCAACTTCGTGCTTTTGGGGGGAAAACCTAGGTCAGAGCACTTACCTCGAAAGAGATCGTACCAGACTTTCTTGGATCTTAAATGCTGCACCCCATTCAAGTGCTTTTTCCTGTTGTGAAGATTGTCCTGGAACGTTCGGTCACAGTAATCGCAAAAGTACCGCTTCCCCATTCTGAATCTGCTAAAAAAACCAAAAAAAAATCCCTTGGGAAAAGTGTGTTTTTCAACCTCAGCAGCTTTTAAGATGCGTGTGGACTTCGATTCCCAGAAGTCAACATTTTAAATTCTCTTTTTTCCCCCGCTCATTTCCTATCTTTTTTTTCCTTCTTCTTGTACACTTTTATTTTAAAATTCTGATAGAAATGTGTTTTTTTTATAAAAAAAACTACACAAATACACACAACATTTGGCTTTGGCTGCCTAAGCTCGGAAATCATTAGCTAACACAAGGGCGATTGTGTTCCAATTTGCTGGGCTTCGATTGTAAATGGCAAATTTGGGATTTGACATGTAGGAACGCTGCTCCTAATTGAACTGCAGTGGTGCCCGCGGTTTGCAGAGAAGGGTTTCTCCTAACCACCTGCAGGGCTGAAAATTGAATCTGGAACTTCCTGCAGGCAAAACCAGAAGTTACAACTCTTTATCAGGATGACATTTTAACATCTATTCCTCTGAAAGAAAGCCCTGTTTTGCTTTCTGAGCATTTATGTGTAGGTTAGCTGAGATGCAAAACAAGTACAGCACATAGATTTGAATTATCATCATTGTTCTAATTGCGTGGAGAATTTATTGTGTGTATTACAGCAGGCTAGTTTTCAATTTCATGGATAAATAAATAAAATGGTGCATTTCGGTGCAGCATAGAATTGTACGTTCAGCCCTGGCGCTGCTTCTATTTAATAACGGCACCAAAGTGGGACTTGCAGAAATTAATACATATCGGGTGTAAACAACCAGATCTGCAGGTCAAGAGTTAAATTAGCTATTTTATTGTTCATACCTATAGTACAGGAATCTTCTCAGGCTGACAGTTTGCTCCTGGGCCAGTCTAGCTGAGCCCCAGGGAGTAGTCAAAGAAGGAATTAGCCTGGAATCTCTACGTAAGCATCGGAGGGAAACAAGCAACCTACAAGAAATTGCCAAAGAAGCCAAGAGCAAACAGCCCAACCAAAGAATCTCTAAGACCAACCTGCAACAACACTGACAGGCAAGCCACTAGACTATGATGTAAATGGAGAGCAAACCCCACTCCTTACTTACACTGATGATGTTACCTAGTTGGGTCATGAGACGTCTGCAATAAAACCAGCAAGCTCAGAGAGTACCAAGGACCCCACAGTCCTCCTAAGTAGGACTGATGATGTTACCTAGCTGGATTATGAAAGGTCTGCAAGAAAACAACCCAGCTAAAAGAGCACCAAGAACCCAACAACCCTCCTTCTCCTCCTTCCCTTTCCTCCTCCTCCCCGCCAACCCCACTCCCTTCTAGCACTGATGGTGTTACCTAGCTGGGTCATGAGACGTCTGCAAAAAACAACAACAACCCAGCTCAGAGAGCACCCAGCACCCTTCATTTCAACCCTGAGCTACAAATATTATCCTTTATTAATGATGGGAACTGTAGTACCTACCCTACCTCCCCAGGACCCTGGATAACACACCAAGCGGGGTCCCTACTCAACCTCTCGCTCTGCGGTCCGGATGTCAGAATTGTCAGGATTCAAATCTCATTACTCCCAGAGGCCTCCACGGTCGGGCTTCGAGCCAACGAACGGCAGGGCATCTTGGGAAACGTGGTTCTGTTTCCCTTAAGGAAGAGCGCGCCCCCTGGGGGCACCGGACTTCAAAGCCCAGAATTCAACGCGGCGCATTTTTTTTTTTTTAAATGCGGACGTTCCGGTCGCCTGCGTTCCCGAAGGTAGCGGTGCGCCTGCGCAGTAGCTTCAAGCGTCCAAGATGGCGTTCGCGCAGCAGCTGTACAATGCGGTGTTCCGCCGGACGTCCACGTTGGTTTTGACGGTCGTGGTGGGCGCCGTGATTTTCGAGCGGGGCTTCAACCAGGCCACGGAGGCGATTTTCTGCCGTCTCAACGAGGGGGTAAGTCAGCCAGGGTGGGCGCGCAGGCCCCAGCCGGGGACTTGCGTGAAAGGCGGCCGGAGTCAATTGAAGGTCAGGCGGGCTGGCCTCCAACTCGAGGCCGCGGCTTCGGCCTATCGCGCTGCTTCTAGGTATCGGGCAGTGCACCTTTTGTGAAAGCAGGTGCTTCGCTGCCGCCTGCTTTTCTGGGGTGCCAGTTGTGCGCTTTCGGCTCCAGGTCTTCTGCAGCCTCATTGCAGACCTGCCGAAGCTGGGTGCCTTGGGGGTGAAACGGGGCATCGCGTCTGCAAAAGAAACGAAACCCAGAGAGCACCAAGGACCCCACAGCCCTCTTCCTCTTCCTCTTCCTCCTCCTCCTCTTTCTCGTCCTTTCTGCAAACCTCATTCCCTTCTAGCACTAATGATGATGCCTGGTTGGCTAATGAGACGTCTGCAATAAAACAAATCAGATTCAGAGAGCACCAAGGACCCCACAGCCCTCCTCCTAGCTCTGATGATGTTACCTAGCTGGGTCATTAAACGTCTGCAAGGAAACCACCAAGCTCAGAGAACAACCAAAGATCCTTCACTTCAACCCCGAGCTACAAATATTTCCCTTTCTCGGAGCTTGCTTGGCCACACGACTCTGCAGTCTCCTTGGCAAGATTTCAGGATTAGTTTGCGCTTGCCTTCTTCCTGAGGTGGAAAGAAAAATCGCTGGATGGCGGTCACCCTGCTGATCTTGAGGCTAAGGCAGAATTAGAACTCGTGGCCTCTCAGTTTCTAACCCTGATTGGTTTAACTGGCTCTCTCCCTCTCTCTCTCTCTCACACACACACACGTACACACAAGATACACGGCAATGTAGTATATGTGCACCTTGGAAATGGTAGGGTTTCCTAAAAGCCTGAGCAGGGGTTTGGACTAGAAGACATCCAAGGTCCCTTCCAACTCTTGTTATTCATCGTACACAGATGCACAGAAATGCACGTGGACCGTATGTATACATACTCACACATCACCTTTTTACCCTTGAAAGTACTTTCCTCTTTTATGTACCTTAAGTACTTTGGGGGAGGCAGGGAATGGGGTGCTAGTGGATTCCATTCCACATCCTGAGTGGGCTGCAATTGAGGAATGATTTTACAGATTAACGCTATAGAGCCCTGCACACCAGAACAACTAGACACAAGGGAGAGTTTTTACCCGAACGCCATCACTCTGCTAAGCAAATAGTTCCCCAACACTGTCCAACTATTTACAAAGTCTGCACTACTATTACTATTAATCTCATCACTCCTTATCACCCATCCCCTCCCACTTGTGACTGTATGTCTGTAACTTCGTCACTTGTATCCTTACTATTTATATTGACTGCTTCCTAGTATGATTTGATTGCTTATTTGTACCCTGTGACTATTATTAAGTGTACCCGATGATTCCTGACTCTTGACAAATGCATATTTTCTTTTATGTACACTGAGAGCATTTGCACCAAAGACAAATTCCTTGTGTGTCCAATCACACTTGGCCAGTCAAGAATTCCATCTTTTATTCTAATTCTAATTCTATTCTTATTGTACCCTATGACTATTATTAAGTGTTGTACCTGATGATTCTTGACGAATGCATCTTTTCTTTTATGGACATTGAAAGGATATGAACCAAGACAAATCCTTTGTCTGTCCCATCACACTTGGCCAATAAAGAATTCCATTCTATTCTAACAGAGTTGGAAGGGATCTTGTAGGTCATCTAGTCCAACCCCCACCCCCACCCCCCAAAGCGGGATGTTTTGTGAAGTTGCAAGCATTTCCCAAATGTCATCCGTATCTTAACTCCGTGCTTGTTTGTGTTTCTCGCTGTGCAGAGACTATGGAAAGACATCAAGCACAAATATGAAGTCAAGCAGGACTGAGGTACGGCAAGCAACCCTGGATTCCGGTTGGCTCCTCTGCCATCTTCACCAACAGCCCTTTGGGTTTGTGGCCAGTTGTTCGTCCAGACGTTCATCCTCGTACGATGGCCCGGTGTGCGCTACTCCCAAGTGATGAAAAGATTCAAATGACTTTTTGGATTTTTCGCTGTGAAAGCAGCTTAATAAAATGCACTCTCCACAAGACAAGCGTATTTTGTACTATCTGTGTCACTTGGGAGTTTCAGAATGCTCAGGGGGGCCCATTTGGCAAATGCTGGGTGGGTTCTTCCCCCTCCCCCCCCCTTTCAATCCAGTCATCAGGCGGTGAAGTTGTAGCACAAGACGCCACAAAAGTTATAGACTTGCTTGTAGCTTTGGGTTGGAATGGCAGTTAGATATATCTACATGTGTCCTATTAGATTTCGATCTTCCCATTTCAAGGGTCCCTTTGTGTCACAGGTAATCCTCAACTTACAACTATTTGTTGTAAACAAATAGGAAACAGGAAACAAATGGGTAACAAAACTCTATACTTTTTATGATGGGAAATTGGGGCGGGCGGGGGTGGGTGGGTTGACAATTGAGGAAGAACAGAGGGGTTTGGAATCCGGTTCGTGTTGACATCCTGGCATCTTCAAGGCCGTTTACCCTGAGAGTGGGATCTCGCCAGCTCAAACACCAGCGTTTCCCAAAACACCTCGGTGCTGGATTGGCTACACAAGGGGGGAGGGGGGGCTATGGGGGCAGGGTTAGGGGGAACACCAGGGGGTTCTGTCTTGGTGTGCGGGAGCTTCAGGTTCCACCTGATTCTGCTCTAATCAGCACCTCTTAGTTAAAGTGCCCTCCCACTTCAATCAAATGGGAATCGAGGGTTTCACTTTCCTAGGAGACCAGATTGAGGCAGCCCTGACAGAGGCAACCTATAGGACAACTCAAAAAACAGCAAAAGTTTCCGGAGGAACCGTTTAAAGAAAAGCATTTCTCAAATTTCCACAAGTCGCTCAACGCAGCCCTATTGCAGGTCTGCAATTGCCTGTTCTTATGTGTGGATTTGTGTTTTCCGCCCTAGGAAAATGATCTTTGCAAAAGTCTCTCTCTCTCTCTCTCCAGGGGGGGTCAGGGGGGGACCTCCCTGAAAAAAGAGCAGTTCCAAACAAGCCTCCCTGGCGCGCCGCTGTTTCAAGACGGGATCATGCCTTTATTCCGCTTCCGGTCGGCCATTGCACGTCTGTTGTGATTCGCCCTCGTCCCCTTGCTGGCTTCTTTCTTCCGTCGCTCCTGGACTGTCTCTCGGCTTTGGCCGCGGCCCTTGGCAACGCCCGTCACAGCTCCTGAGTTATCTGGCTTTGGCCTGCAAGAGAAAAAAAAAAACGGACTGTGAACACCCACCAGCGAAATGTCACTGGGGTGACGTGATATTTGGGCTCCAGCATCTCGGGGGCTGCCCCAAAGAAGAGGGAGTCAAGCTCTTCTCCAAAGCACCAGAAGGCAAGAGAAGAAGCCACGGATGGAAACTTGAGGAGGAGAGAAGCAACGCAGAACAAAGGAGAAACTCCCTGATAGTGAGAAAAATTAACCCCGTGGAACTGTTTTGTCTCCAGAAGTTGTGGGTGCTCCCATCACTGGAGGCTTTTAAGAAGAGACAGGACAACCATTTGTCTAAAATGGCGCACCGCCTCCTGCTTGAGCAGGGGTTGGACTAGAAGACCTCCAAGGCCTCTTCCAGCCCTAGGTCCTAAAGACCCGGTGCCCTCTAATTGGGTGGGAACTGCCACTCCCAGACTACCAAGCCAGCTTGGCAAATCGCAATCCTAGGTTGGACGCCTGGAACTTGGCACGAAAATCCGGAGAAGGGGGAGGGGTTTGGGGTGGGGAATCCGTACCCTTTTCTTGCCAGGAAGGTCATCCGCCTGGCCTCGGCTCGCTCCCGCAGCACTGCTGGATCTTGAATGAAGTGGTCCTGTTAGCCAAATGAGAAGGAAGATCTTTTGAGAAGAAGGGATTCCATTCCTCCGCTGTCCCACAAAAATATCGGGAGCTTTTCCCGATGTGGGACAGCAACGGGGACATAGGTGCAATCCCGAACATGTGGACAGGAGAGAAACCTTTAGCACTTACAACCGAGAATTGTCTCCCGCAAAGTCCCACTCCCCTTTTGCTCCTCTTTATTCCTTATGGGAGGAGCCAATCACCGTCTACTTGACCCTTTGACCCTTGTTCCTTAACTGTTCCCTTCTCCTGGCAGCTCTGCGCATGTGCACATTGGAAACAGGCTCCAGCTGTTCTTCTTCCCCACTGATCTCTGACTCTGAAGGCAGCTGATAACTGTCAGGCAGCCCTGGCCCCGTCTCTGCCTCTGACACGCAGAGCACTCATCCGAGCCTTCCCCAGACTCCAGGACTTGCACATGTTCGTCCCCAACCTCCTCACTGTCTGAACCTGGGCCACATTTCCTCAGGTCGCAAAAGTTCTCACTCAAGGTAACTTGGAGTAGCTGCCAACTTCTGATCTCTTCCGCTCTCTCAGGAGCTGCCTCTCCTTTCTCCTGTTCGAACCGCAGGATTGCTTCACCACCTCTTCCCTCCCTCCAGAATTCCAGATGGCTCACCTTTGTTGCCTCTCTATCCTCCATCGCCTCTTCTTCATCCTCCTCGTCCTCCTGCTCCTCCTCTTCTTTGGGCCTCAGGACTTGAGGGATGGTGAACGGCCTTCAGGAAGATGGAACAGCCACACGGTGAGACTCATCAAGAGTAGACAACTCGCCACGGCCAATTGGCCCCAGCCAATTCACCACGAGCAACTCACACACACACCGCCATGGTGCAGGAAGCTAACTAGGCTACGCCCCCCCAGCTAGGGGTGGGATTCAAATTTTTTAACAACCGGTTCTGTGGGCGTGGCTTAGTTGGTGGACATGGCTTGGTGGTCATGTGACTGCCTGGGTGTGGCCAACTCAACATCACTCACATGGAGGCACGCATCTCCTCGCCTGGCCTCTCATGACTGGGGATGCCGCAACAGTCGTAAGTGTGAAAAATGGTCATAAGTCACTTTTTTCAGTGCCATTGTAACTTTGAATGGTCACTCCACACAAGCAAAGTACCAGCAAAGGAGGGAAAAAAACCTCCAGAGAAGTTCCTGAGACAGGAAGTCTAGTCCTGCCAAGAATGTAATCAGGGTTAACGGAGAGGCAGCTTCTGTAAGCAACACCAGAATGTTTCCTTCCTGCCTTCCTTACAGGATTAGGCCAGTAATTTCTTCTAACAAGCGGTTCTCTGACCTGCTTAGAAGGTTAACAACCGGTTCTAGCGAATAGGGGCGAACCTGTAGAATCCCACCCCTGCCCCCAGCCACCGGGCAGAGAACCCCTTGCTAAAATTTTTGAAGCCTACCCCTGGAACTAAGCACTGGTGCAGATGGACACTAGCTTACCTTCTGCTGATCAGCTCGTCGTCTGAGTCAGCATCGTTTGCTCCCACCTGGTTGCCGTCATAGGTGTCGTCGTATTCGTCCTCGTAGTCTTCCTGGGAGAAGAGGCGATCCCCGCTCACCACGGGCACCTCCTCAACAATGACGGAGTACTGGTTGTAGCGTTCCCTCTGCTCCTGCACCAGGCGCTTGTCGTTCAGCAAGCTTTTCGTGGTGGCTTTGTCGCTCCTGCAAACCATGGAGAGGAATACTGTTGTGATTCGCTGGCAGGTGGAGGGCTGAGGTCTCGGAGAGCGAGGACTCAGATGAGGGGCCTGCATGTGATGCAGGGATGGGGCCAGGACCATCAGGGAGTGGAGTGCTGCCTTTGGAAACTGTGGAGGCTGGCAGCAGTGAGGAAGAGGAGCCCGAGGAGCCTGTGCCCAGGGCTGCTTGAAGGAAAGAGCAGCTGCAGCAGCACAGGCGACTCGAGAGTAAGGCTGCAAGGTAATGGCCCCTCCTTTAAGAGATAAAAGACAGCCGAGAAACCGGAGTACTTTGCAGGAAGCAAAGAAGTTTTTGCACTCAAGCCTTGTAGACATTCGGAATATCTTTGTTGGTGTTTGGAGACTCTTTTGTGTTTGAAATATTTCTTGGTAACTTTATTTAGTGCTCTTGGCAACCTTGCACCACCTTGGCCAGGCTTGTTCTTATCAGAGACAATTAGTTTGAAACAGCCTTTTAACCAAGAAGGAACGCAATTTGCAGAGAAACATTAAAGGTTTTGCTTTTATCTCAATTTGGTGTTTGTTTACTTGGAACAAGGTTTTGGTCAGAACAAATACAAACAAAACTCGGGTACACAACTCGAGGTCTCGGGGATGGGAGGCTTCCTTTGAGTCGAACATTTGGCTTCTACCGATTGGAAAAGAAGAGCTCGGGGGACGAACTGTGGGCTCCTTGGTGCTGTGGTGAACTTGGCTGCTTTCTTGCAGACCTTTCGTTACCCAAATTAGGTAACATCATCGGTGCTACGAGGGAGTGGGGTTTGTGGAGAGGAGGAGAAGGAAGAGGAGGAGGAGGAGGAAAAGGAGAAAGAGAATTGTTGGGTACTTGGGGGGGTCTCTGAGCCTGACTGTTTTCTTGCAGACGTTTCATTACCCAACTAGGTAACATCATCAGTGCTAGAAGGCAGTGGGAAAGGAGAAGGAGGAGGGTACTCTCTGAGCTTGGTAGTTTTCTTGAAGACTTCTCATTACCCAACTACGTAACGTCATCAGTGCTAGGAGGGAGTGGGAGTTTTCCCTTTTCCCTGAGGATGTTACCTAGTTGGGGACGAGCTCAGGGTTCTGGCAGTTGAACTTCCCACACCTTAGAGCTGCTATGGGGGGAGGAACCCTGGATTGGAGGGGAGCAGCGCAAACTCACCGCTTGCCTTTCTGAATTCGAGAGACATCCACCACCTCCTTGCTGAAAACATCAAACTCGTCATCTTGGAAAACGTTGCACCGAGACGTGACAAGCGGAGTCGGGTCTGGTTTCACAGGCCTGGCAGGAACAGTTGTTTATTTTATTTTATTTTTTTTCTTAAAAGAACAGCAGCAACAAAAGTCTTCATCTCCAGAAATGCAAGACACAAATCTTTCAGGAAACACGCCCCCGTTTTTGGGCAGGAGTGTCACAAGGTGGTGGATCCCCAGGAGGAAGCAGGGATGGCTTAGTGGCCAGCAACTAAGACTAACCTGAGCACAACCAAGCCCCCACCTGAACAGAACACGCCTCCAGCCAATCAGAACACAGCCAGCCCCCCAACCAATCAGAACACAGCCAAACCCCCTACCAATGAGAACACACCCCCACCCAATCAGAACACAGCCAAGCCCCCACCCAATCAAGTCACACCCCCACTAGCAGTTAAAAGGAAGAAGTAGCTGCAAGCTCACATCACTCTGAGAAGCACAGAGCCGAAGACACAAGCCTGAAGATGATGAATGAGACTTCATCGAAACGTGGCCTAGATACTTCCAATCTTACGCAGGAGAAAACCCGAACAACCAAAGATCCACATATAAATACCCGCGAGAACCTCAGAAAATACACACACGCACACACATCTCAATATAATCTCCTTCCAACTTTACCTAGGCATGGTTCTGTCAAGCATCTGTATGGAGGCCCCCAACTTGTCCTCTAGAAGGTTGTTGATGACATGCTCCACGTTATAGTTGTACTCCTCCAAGCAGGCCAGGACGAAGCCTTCTCCAAGGTCAGGGAGCAGATCCTTCACCTGAGAGATCAGGGAATCCAGCTCTACTCCAGAGACGGGAGCTACGGGAGCTGCAGCTGCTCCAGCACACTAGACAGATCCAATCAATAAGCCATGTTACATACACCGCACGAATCAGCTGAGACGAAAAAGGCAGACATATAGGACTGGGCGGGGGCAGCTGATCGTCACAGCTTAACCGGTCCAAACCAGCAGCATCCCACTTCTAAGAAGAGCCTAAATCAGCCAAAAAGCTGCCATCTTGGCTGCAGGCTGCGGCTGTGCTCCAAACACTTACCTCCAGGTGATCCTGTTCCTCAAAGTGTTCCGTCTGTTCTGAGGCACTGGGGACCGTCACGGCCCCGGTTGCGGTTTCATAGACAGGTGGACCTTGGACCGTTTTTCTCCTTCTACCTGTTTTGTCCCAGGCACTTTCCACAGCTTGCAAAATGTAAGATGTTCGAGTTTCGTCTCTGTCCAATGGTGTCAAGGGCAGATTCCCGATTCTCCATAGTGACAGAACATTGGACAACGATAGTGCTTAGACCTATAGGCCGCTTTATAGTGCTTTCCAGCCCCCTCTAAGTGGTTTACAGAGTCAGCCTCTTGCCTCCCAACCATCTGGGTCTCCTCATTTTAATGGCCTCGGAAGGACGGAAGGCTGAGTCAACTTTGAGCCGGTCAGGATCGAACTGCTGGCAATGGGCAGAGTTTGCCTGCAATGCTGCGGTCTAACCCCTGTGCTTCCGGGGGGAGGGGGAAGGAAGGAAGGAAGGAAAGAGAAGAATTGAAAGATAAAGAGAAAGGTTATAAGGGAGAAAAGGAGGAAGGGGGGAGGAAGGAAGGAAGGAAGGAAGGAAGGAAGGAAGGAAGGAAGGAAGGAAGGAAGGAAGGAAGGAGAATTGAAAGAGATAAAAGAGAAAGATTATAAGGAAGGAAAGGAGGAAGGGAGGGAGAGGAAGGAAAGAAGAAGAATTGAAAGAGATAAAGAGAAAGATTATAAGGGAGGAAAGGTGGGAGGAAGGAAGGAAAGGAAGGATGAAGGAAGGAAGGCAGAACAATAACAATAGCTTTTATATACCACTTCACGGTTCTTTCCAGCCCTCTCTAAAGCGGTTTACAGAGTCAGCCTCTTGCCCCCAACAATCTGGGTCCTCATTTTACCAACCTTGGAAGGAGGGAAGCTGAGTCAACCTTGAGTGGGTCAGGATCGAACTGCTGGCAGTGGGCAGAGTTTGCCTGCAATGCTACCCCCCCAGGGCTGTAGCTCTGTTGCTACTGGTAGTTCTCGACGTACAAACAGTTCCTTTAGTGACGGAAGTTACAACAGCACAAAAGTGACGTATGGCCGTTTTTTTTCACCCCGGTGACCATTGTAGCATCCCCACAGTCATGTGATGGAAAGGGGACAGGAGAACTGAACATTCACACTGGTGCCAAAGGATACAGCACTGAAGAGGCTTGTTGGAGGAGGCTGACATCATCTGCCAGAGGGAAAAGCTCGTCGTAATCGCGGAGAAACCTGAAAACAGAGAGATGCAAATCCCATGATTTGTAAGGATTAACAGAGTTGGAAGGGGCCATGGAAAGGTCTTCTAGTCCACCTCCCTATGTCATTTCAGACGAATTGCTGTCCAGTTTCTTCTTAAAAACCTCCAGAATAGAATGGAATGGAATATAATAGAAATAGAATACGAGTAGAGTAGAATAGAATAATAAAGAATAGAGTAGAATAGAATAATAAAGAGTAGAATAGAATAGAATAGAATAGAATAGAATAGAATAGAATAGAATAGAATAGAATAGAATAGAATAGAATAGAATAGAATCTGGAAGGGACTTTGGAAGTCTTTTAGTCCAGCCCCCTGCTCAAACAGGAGAACCTATACCATCTCAAACAAGGGACTGTTCAGTCTCCTCTTAAAACCTTCCAGTGTTGGAACATCCACAATTTCTGGTGGCAAGCCGTTCCACTGGTTAATCGTTCTCACTGTCAGGAAATTCCTCCTTATTTCTAGGTTGCTTCTCTCCTTGGTTAGTTTCCACCCGTTGCTTCCTGTCCTGCCTTCTGGTGCTTTGGAGAATAGCTCGACTCCCTCTCCCGTTTTACGAACCGAGCCTTTTTTTAATCCACTGGATTGCATACATCTCAGAAAAGGGATTCCTCTCATTGGATTAAGGATGTGGCGTAGACGCAGCCTGAAACCTGAAGCGTGGTAAAATTTGCAGATTACAGTGTTCCAGAGTTGCGCCAAGCTCTCTCACCTCGTCTCCTGAAGCACGGAGGTGAAAATCTGCAGGAACTCTTCTATGTACGCCTGGATGTTGTCGCAGCTGCAAGAACAAGGTTAATTGTTGCAGATGATCTGTGAAAATGATACGGGCAGAAAATCCAGGTTTGCCTGTTTCTAAGGCTTTCGGGAAAGGGGGACACTAATTCTAAAATGGGGGTAAGTTCTGCTGCTGTTTCCCCCCCCCCCACCCCAACTGCTAAACTGATCTATGAAGTCACTTCAGGCCTTGACTACAACTTCCAGAATCCCCAGCCGCACTGGAGGGAGCGGTTTGCTCGGCTTATTGGTTACAGTCAATATCCCAATTCTATATGGGAGTGTTTGGGACACAAAACGTAAGAACAGAATCATGGCATTGGAAGGGACCTTGGAGGTCTTCTAGTCCAACCCCCTCATCAGGCAGGAAACCCTATACCATTTCAGGCAAATGGTTGTCCAATCTCTCCTTGAAAACGTCCAACCCTAACCCTAACCCGTTCCACTGATTAATTGTTTTCACTGTCAGGAAATTCCTCCTTGGTTCTAGGTTGCTTCTCGCCTTGATTAGTTTCCATCTGCTGTTTTCTTGTCCTGACTTTGGAGAAAAAATTGATCTCCTGTTCCTGCGGCAGCTCTTTTAAGTGTTGCAAGACTGCTATGTCTCCCGCGAGGCTTCTCTTTTGGAGAATAAGTTAGTCCCTTCTTCTTTGTGGTAGAAGAAGATATTGGAAGACTGCTACCATGTCACCCCTAGTCCTTCTCTTCGTTAGGCTAAGCCGAGGGTCTTCGCACTTGGCAAGTTTAAGACTTGCGGACATTCCACTCCCAGAATTCCTGAGCTCACCTGGACTGGAGGAGGAATTCTGGGATTTGAAGTCCACAAGTTTTAAAGCTGTCCATGCTTGAAGACCTCTGGGCTAAGCATTAACGTTAGTTCCCCTTAGCCGCTCATCGCAGGATTCGGCCTTATTCTCTTCGTTGCTCTTTTCTGCGCTCTTTTTAGGGCCTCCATATCTGGCAAGATGGGGAAATACCTGCTTTCCAAAATGGGCTGAAGGCACAGCTGGTGGACCACCATATGGAAAATCTCCACCATCTTCTTCCGAGAGTGACACAGCCTCCTCCATAAGTCCGACAGCACTCTAAAGGGCAGAAAGAGGATCCACACAGTCGTGGACATGACCGCAAAAAGAACTTCGCGGCATTAATGGGTAGGAGAACCTGATCAAAATGTGTGCCCACCACCACCACAGGGGTGGGATTCTACCGGTTTGGATGCTAAATTGGCATCTGGTTCGCCGAACCGGTAGTTGAACTGACCAGCTGGCTGCGGAAGTACCGGAAGTCCGGAAACGGGCCTGTTTCTGCCTTCCGGAGGGCCTCCAGAGCCCGGGGGAGGCCGTTTTCGCCCTCCCAAAGGTCTGAGGGAAGCCTCCGGACCCTTGGGAGGGTGAAAAATGGCCCTTCTGGAAGTTCCGGTAGGCCACACCCATCGTGGCGATGCCCACCCAGTAGCTGGTCAATAAAACAGTTGCTGGGAGTTTTGAATCCGACCCCTGTCGTTGTCACCGTCGTCCGTCCCCCGCCCCCCCCCCCAAAAAACAAAAAAAAAAAAAACCCAGCTGGCTCAAGCAGATTTTTGGTACCCTTCAAAGCCAGGCAGAGAAAAAAAAAAAAACGTCAGAAAGGATGAAAAACGAGGCGCTCGCTCCAAACCACAGACCTGCTATTTTCGGGGTGCCGTTTCTTGATAGCAGATTCCAACTCGGGGATCACCATCTCGTAAAAAGCAGCCAGCCTGCCAACCCAAGGAACAAAGGAGTGAGTGGGCTTTTGTGGAACGGCCAGTCAAAATGGCTGGAAGGAGTGGGTGGGGAGGAGAGAGAGGGGGGAAAATGTGAAGACGGATCTCGGAAGACGCTGGGAAAACTAAGAGCGCAGCTAGCTCTACAGGCAGCGAGGTTCTGGGTACCTCCTCCTGAAGACACATCTCGGCAGGCAAAGAAGAGCAAGCTTCAGATCAGAGGTGTCCAACTTGGGCCGCTTTAAAGACTTGTGGACTTCAACTGTCAGAATTCCCAAATTTAAGAACTTGTGGACTTCCATTCCCAGAATTCCCCACCAACTTTAAGAACTTGTGGACTTCAACCCCCAGAATTCCCAAATTTAAGAACTTGTGGACCTCAACTCCCAGAATTCCCTACCAAATTTAAGAACTTGTGGACTTCCATTCCCAGAATTTCCTACCAAATTTAAGAACTTGTGGACTTCAACCCCCAGAATTCCCCAACATCTTTAAGACTTGTGGACTTCAACTCCCAGAATTCCCAAATTTAAGAACTTATGGACTTCCATTCCCAGAATTCCCCACCAACTTTAAGAACACGTGGACTTCCATTCCCAGAATTCCCTTCCAAATTTAAGAACTTGTGGCCGCCTTCGACTCCCAGAATTCCCCACCCTTTAAAGGGGCTGCCTACGAAAAAGCTTTGGAAGGACATCTGGGAAACTCACAGCTTGGATACGTTCTCAAGCGCGCCCCTCATATCGGATACAAAACACCCCAGCGGCCTAAATGAATACCTGAAACAAAAATCGTGCTTCTGAAAAGTCTGGCAAGCCGAGGGAAAGATATCGAGGAAGGCAAACAGGGTGATGCAGCTGTCGCAGATGTACAGGACAATATCTTTCAGCTCCTGGGAAGAGAAAGAAAAGAGGCATTTCCAGGATTTGGGTTCCAAATATTGCCCTCTCCCCTCTTTGGAAGAGCTTTATAGCTCCCACTCCCTTAAGAAAGTTCGAAACAATCCACTCAAAAACATGAAGGTTCCATTGTGGTTCTTTGCGTTTCCTTGGTGAGTTTGGTTTGTCCTTGTTTGTTCCCGTGAAATTGTCAAAAGGAAAAAAATATATATATATTGTGGTTCTTGTGGCTCATTCAAGCGTTTCGGGCTCGCTCTTTGACCTCAAAGAAATCTTGTCTCTTTAACTTCTGAAACGCTCGCAGCCTGCGTGCATCGTTCTGCGACGTTCTTTGGGAGCAAAACGACCCTTTTTGCAAAGTCTTTCGATAAATCTGCACTATGCAGTGAGATCTTAGACGTGGACGGAGACCGGAACGGGAATCGTTGGGTTGAAGAAGAAAAAACTGACTAAGCACATGTGATGGGGAGAAAATGCCTCACCCTTTGACTATATATAGAATAACAGAATTGGAAGGGACCTTGGAGGTCATCTAGTCCACCGTCCACCCCTGCCCAAGCAGGAGACCCTACACCGTTTCTGACAGGTGGCAGTCCGGTCTCTTCTTGAAAGCCTCTGGTGATGAAGCTCCCAAAACTTCTGACCCAGTCACAGGATGGACAAGAGGAAGAATGACAAGTTGGGACAGGTAGCAGGCTTGAAGGGAAAGGGTTTGAGATGGGGGAGAGGAAGACAGCCTCCCTGCCGTTGGGGGTGGGTGGGTCCTCACCTGCAAAGGTAGCCCCTTTGGAGTCATCCTGACCCATTCCTCCAGCTTCTGTGGACTACCTGAAGCCTCTTCGCCTTGCAAGCCACAGGCATGAAGGATGTTGCTGAAAACCTGGAAGGCAAAGGACAGACAGATAATGACAGAAGAGAATATTGGTAGCTGAGGGTTGAATTATGGGATCCTTGGGTGCTCTCTGAGCTTGGTTCTTTTCTTGCAGGCGTTTCACTACCCTACTAGGTAACATCAACAGTGCTAGAAGGGAGTGTGGTTTGTGGAGAGGAGGAGGAGGAGGAGCATAACTAGCAGGTATTATATGTTGTCTCAGAGTAGCTCTCAAATATCCCCAGAGAAGCAAACCGACCTGAAGAATCGTAGGCATGGTTTCATCCAAATCGTTGAAGTAATTTGACTGTTGGGTAAAGATGTTTCCTGAAGACAGGAAAGAGAGGAAAAAGAGAGAGAGAGAGAGAAAGAAAAGGCTAGTTAAATGATCAAAGGTTTCACATTAGCTAGGAGCTGAAGTGGTTTCACGGAGCAAGGAATACCGAATACATATTCTGTATAACTTCTCAGAGCTGAAGAAGCTCCTTGGATGGGAAGCGAAATGCCTTCAAAGAAAAACTAGAAAGTCCACTTGCCTCTTGAAAATAAAAAGAAAAAAGCACCTTTGGGACAACAATGACCTGGACGACTGAGAATCTCCCTAGATATCTGGATTCTGTCGTGTGAACCCAATCAAGAGTTACTTACTCGCTAACAACTCAGCGCAATCACCGTTTAGCCGTGGTGAGTGAAGAGGCTGTTTTGGAGCAAGCATTCTGGGGAAAGGTGTCAATATTGAATCCAGCCAGGTCATGAGTTGAAACCATGAATACAGAATAACAAGACATGGAAGGGACCTTGTAGGTCATCTAGTCCAACCCCCCTGCCCAAGCAGGCAACTCTACACTGTTTCTGACAGACGGCAGTCCAGTCTCTTCTTTTTAAGCCTCCAACGATGAAACTTCTGAAGGCAAGCTGTCCCAAAAACCTGCCAAAAACCCACCCTCTTTTCCTCATACCAAGATGTAGACTTGCATTTCAGAGACAAAACAAAGCAAAATTAGAATCAGGTCATTTTCAAGATTGGCATTTAAACATAGCAAAAAAAACCAAAACACCTCTATTTAAGTTTCTTGGGCTTGCTTGTTTGGTTGAAGAAGGAAGCACCTAAGCCTGCAGACTCCCGAGAGAGATGGAAGCAGACTTCCAAAAATGAGCAACATTATCTGATGTTTGACGCATGACTGAACACATTTTTGAACAGTACTTTGAAAATCCTGCTCAGCATTAATTCATCTCAAGGTAGGGAGCTAAACAAATAATTGAAGGGACTAAGGTTGTTTCTTTAGTTCAGTGAGTGATAGCCAAATATTCGGTCCCGCTGAACTGAATAAATCTTGCATTCCACTGAGCGATAGATTTTTGTTTTGTTTTTTTAAATGATGGCTGGATTTAATTTTCATCAGGATATTCCACAAGGTGTACAAAACCCTTATTAAACTAAGCAAATGTATTCACTGGGCCAATAAATTGCAGGCATGAAGCTGCTTTCCAGGATCAGTACAGATAGGTACATAAAAAAAAAATGTAATTACGCTCTAAAATCATCTCAATTTAGGGAGCCAAACAAATAATTGGAAAGAGCAAGGTAGCTGCTTTAATTCAGTGAGGGATATCCAAATATTCAGTCTCACTGAACTAAGCAAGCATGCGTGCTATTAAGCTGCAGGGTTTTTCCTTTTGTTTTTGAACGGTGTCTGGAGTTTAATTTTTATTAGAAGATTCCAGACGGTGTACAAAAATCCCTGTTAAAGCAAGCAAACATACACTGGGCCAACCTATTCAAGGTGAGAAGCCGGCTTTCAGCGATCAGTACAGATCTTTGTTGTTAGTTGCAAAATCGTGTCCGACCCATTGCGACCCCATGGACAATGTTCCTTCAGGCCTTCCTGTCTTCTTCTGGAGTCCATTGAAGCTCACGCCGACTGCTTCAGGGACTCCATCCAGCCCCCACCTTCTCTGCCGTCCCCTCCTCCTCCTCCTCCTCCTCTTCCTCCTCCTTCTTCTTCTTTTGCCTCCATCGTTCCCAGCATTCTGCTCTTCTCCAAGGAGTCCTTCCTTCCTTCTCATGAGGTGGCCAAAGTCTTTGAGTTTCATCCCCAGGATCTGACCTTCTAAAGAGCAGTCAGGGCTGGTCTCCTCTAGGACTGACCAGTTGGATCGCCTTGCAATCCAAGGGACTCTCTGGTGCCTTCTCCCCCAGCACCAGAGTCCAAAGGCCTCCGTTCTTTGGGTGCTCAGCCTTCCTTATGGTCCCAAAGCCCTGCATTGCAACCGGGAAAACCGTAGCCTTGACTCTACGTGCATGATTAACGTTCTATTTGGCACGACAGCTCAGATTATCAGACTAAACCATCAGTGCGTTTTCAGGCCAATTTTGTAAAGAGCCAGCTCTCTGCTCTTGGGATGGACAGATATTGACGTTGAAGCTTAAATACTTCGGACACCGGATGAGAAGAGAGGGCTTCTTGGGAAAGGCCCCGATGTTAGGGAAAAATGGAAGGCAGAAGGGGATGGCAGAGGGAAGGGGAGATGGTTAGATGGCATTATCGACGTAAGGAACGTGAGTTTGGGCATGGCGCGCAAAGGGACCTAGTGTGCTATGGTCCGTGGGTTCATGAGTCGGACACGACATAGCGACTGAACAACTCAAGCCCTCTGGAAAAGGCCCTCCGGGCTGGGATAGGTGGAAAGAAAGAGAAGGATGACCCATCCACCCTGTTTAATTCTGCTCCTACTATGGGGAGGCAACCTACCCTGTTTCTCTGAAAATAAGACCCAACTGGACAATAAGCCCTAGCATGGTTTTTCAGGATGCTCGGAATATAAGCCCTGCCCCGAAAACTGCATTTCCCCGAAAATAAGACCTAATGTGTCTTTTGGGGCAAAGAATTAATATAATATCTTAATGTAATTAAAATTAATTAATATCTTATTTTTGGAGAAACACGGAATTTGTCTCCGCATGGAATTCCATGCCTCTTATTCTATTAATGACTATTTGCTTAGCTTGGTCAAAGCCTAGAGATGTTTAAAAAAAAAAAACCAGCTTATGGGAACCATCAAGATATGACACACGTTTGATTGCACTGTGAGTTATGCCGTGCTTTTAGGCCAATATGTGTTCTCCCCTTATTAGAGAGATTACCAGGGAGGGCAGACAATTTTTTATGTAGGCTATCTCCTTCCGGGACTTAAACCCAGCTAACACGCTGGCAGTAGCAAAAATTCTGTGCAGCTGCAAATGACCACAAGGAAAATTCAATTACAGAATTAAAAATGATTACATGTACCGATTTTTTGTAACTCTAACAATTTTCAGAGAATTGATATTTACACACACGCTTATCAGCTCTCCCATCATGTAAACAAGGGCAAGAGCTACACCGTTTGATGCTATGAAGGACGACCAGAAGTCAAGGGGTGAGGTTCTCATTTTACCCACCTCGGAAGGACAGAAGGCTGAGTCAACCTTGAGCTGGTCAGGATTGAACTCCGGGCAGTTGGCAGTTAGCTTGCAACAGCACTTAGACTTATATGTCACTTCACTGCACTTTCCAGCCCCCTCTAAGTGGTTTATAGAGTCAGCCTCTTGCTCCCAACGATTTGGGTCTCCTTATTTTACCCACCTCAGAAGGAGGGAAGGCTGAGTCAACCTTGAATGCACACATTATGTCTTAATTTTAGCATAAGTGCCTTGTGTGCGTGTGTGTTTGTTGGTGTGTTAACTTGTTACATAAAGACTTACTCACTGCTACTTCGTACAGGAGGATTTAAAGCTGGCAAACTGCTTTGATAAACAAGGGGAGGGTTTAAAAAAAATGCATCTAGTATATTTCGGGTAGATCAGAGATCTGTTTTAAGAGATGCTCCCCCTCGCTCCCCATCCTGTGAACTAACCAATCATCTTCTGGAGTAAGGAGCCATTGCCTTTTCCAAACAGCACGCACAGATCCAAGATCTTGGGAATGTCGAATAAGAAGTTATTGTAAAGGATCTCTCCAAATACTGATGGTGTGATGAAATGATCCTGCAGGAGAAAGGAAGGGAAGAGAGAGAGAGAGAGAGAGAGAGAGATTGGAAGACATTTATTGACAGCTGCCAAAATGGTCTCTCTTGTAGTGATGAGTGTAGGACAATGTCTACTCAACGGAAAAGAATATTTGCAGCACAGGGATTGGACTGTGGGGTCTTTGGTAATACCTGAACTGGGTGGTTTTCTTTGCAGATGTTTCGTTACCCAACTAGGTAACTCCATCAGTGCAACGGAGAGTGGGGGTATGCTCCTGAGCAATGTCTGCAAAACAACATCTGAACTCAGAGAACACCAAGGGTTCCACAGAGTAAGAGAATATTGGTGGCTCAAGGTTGAACTGTGGAGTCGTTGGTGCTCTTTGGAAAATTTCTTGCAGGGATTTCATTAACCAATTAGATAACATCAGGAGGAGGAGGAGGAGATGATGATTATTGACTATGAAGTCCTTAATGTTCTCTGAGCTTGTTTTCTTGTACATGTTTTATTACACAAGAAGGCAACATCTTCAGTGCTAGGTAATAGCACTGATGATGTTACCTAGTTGGGTAATGAAACATCTACAAGAGAACAAGCAAGTTCAGAGAGCACGAATGGCCCCACAGCCATCTTCTTCCTCCTCCTCCTCTTCTTCCTCCCACTGATGATGTTACCTAATAGGGTAATGAAACATCTATAAAAAAAAAAAAAGCAAGCTCAGAGAGCACCCACAGTCTTCCTCCTCCTAGCACTGATGATGTTAGCTAGTTGGGTGATGAAACATCAGCAAGCAAACAACCAAGCTCAGAGAGCACCGAGGAGAACAAGGCTGCCACTGTAGTCAGAGGAAGCAACATGTCTGTCAGCACAAGGCCGGAGACCTCTCCAAGCATTCCGTGAATCGGACGCCTCTTCTACAACCACCCTTTCGATTGGAACAAAGCAATTTGAAGGACTCTTTGGGGTTGATTACCGTGGAATTAGAAATTACATGCTTCCACATGTCTCCGAGAGAGCCCTCGGAGTGGTTGCGTGACTAATTCGTAAAACAATAATTGACAGAAATGATCAAACATGCGAAGGGCCGGTCTTTGGGGAAAAGCCTTTGAACTTTTCCAAAACAAGGCTCAACACCCGAAGGAAGGTTTTTTTTTTTTTTTCTCAGAAGGGTAAACAGAAAGCTGTCCTTCCTTCACCCCTCCTTCCTCCCCACACCGCCACCCCCTTATCCAAACAAACACGTCTAGGTTGTATGTTTTCAAGTTGTGTTTTTTCTAAAAAAGGAGGAGGAGGGGAAAAGAGGAGGAGGAGGAGAGGAAGAGGAGGAACAACAACATACATTTGGAGCTCAATTGTGGTCGTAAGCCGAGGACATTGAATGATCACCCTAGTGAAGCTTCATCCTCCATCACTTCCTTATTTGAGCATTATCCCAATTGTATCATATTTTTCGAGGAGGAGGAAGAGGAGGGGAAGGGGAAGAAGGAGGAGGAGGAGGAAGAGAAAGAAGAGGAAGAGGAGGAGGAGGAGGAAGAATTATTTATTATTATTATTATTATTATTATTATTATTATTATTATTATTATTATTATTATTATTATTTACTTTGGATTCCTTGTGGGTGGACATCCGGAGGAAGGTTAGGAAAACGTTCCGGTGAAGATGCTTCTCGAGCTCCTTCACCTCGGCAGGGAGGTCCGTCCTGGTGTCGAACTGGCGGGGGGCGTGGCGCAGGTACGAATCCAGGCATTTCTGGAGCGACTCGTCAAAAATGACCTGGTGGGAGAAAGCAAAGCCTTCCTAGGTAACCCCACCAGTGCTAGGAGGGTGTGGGAGCTTTCCCTTCTAGCACTGATCATGTCACCTAGTTGGGTATGAACCAGGGGGAGGAGGAAGAGGAGGAAAGAGAAGGAGGAGCACTGTGGGGTCCTTGGAGCGCTCTGAGCTGGCTTGTTTTCCTGGAGATATTTTATGACCCAAACTAAGTGACATCATCAGTGCGAGGAGGAGGAGGAGGAGGACGACTCTGGGGTCTTTGGTGCTCCCTAAGCTTCGTGGTTTTCTCCCAGACATTTCATGACCCAACTAGGTAACACCATCAGTGTTACAAGGGAGTGGGGTTTAGGAGGAGGAGGAGGAGGAGGAGGTGGTGGTGGTCCTTGGTGCTCTCTGAGCTTGGTGCTCTTCTCACAGACATTTCATTACCAAACTGGACAACGTCATCAGTGCTAGAAGGGAGTGGGGTCTGCAAAAAGGGAGAAGAGGAGGTCTGGGTGTGTGTGTGTGTCATGAAACATCTGCAAGAAAACACAAAAGTTCAGACTTACAAGGGATGTAAGTCTAAGTGCTCTTGCCAGAACAGTCCAGGCTTCCAAGAGGCCAACTAGGAGTTGGGAAGGCTGGGAAGCACCCACAACCCTGGGAGAGAAAGTCTTCTATCGTTCTCTCTCTTTTCTTTCCCACCTTTTCTCATTTACAACGACAAACCACCACCACCACCGCCACAAACAGTACCTGGCACCAGAATTTATCATGGGGCAGAGCCAGGAGCCAATCCAGATCACGTGCAATGAATCTGGCTCGTTCCAAAAACTCCTCCACCAGGGCCGGATCTTCGGTGCCCGGGAGGGGCTTGTACACCACAAAAGACCGGTCTGTTTTATTTCGGGGGTGCTGAAAGACAAAAATGGGGTGAGGAGGGAAGGTCAGGAGCCCCAAGACAAAATGGCAGGCCTTGGGCCTGCTTTCTCGGTGGTCTCAAGAGAGCATTTCACTGGCAAAGTCGTGTTTGCTCTTTTGGCAGATGCTGGCCTGCTGCCCCTCTGCCCAAGGCCCTGCCGATTAACATTTTAAGGTTACAGATGAACAGAGTTGGGAGGGACCTGGTAGGTCATCTAGTCCAACCCCACCCACGCGCCCAAGCAGTAGACCCTACACCGTTTCTGACAGATGGCAGTCCAGTCTCTTCTTGAAAGCTGCTGGTGAGGGAGCTCCCACAACTTCTGAAGGCAAGCTGTCCCATTGAATACAGAATAACAGGATTGGAAGGGACCTTGGAGGTCATCTAGTCCAACTCAATGGCGTGGGGGGGGGAGCCAGATTCACTTAACAACGGTGGTGAGAAAGGCTGCAATGTAGGGCACAACTCCCTTAACAATTGAACAACGGAAACTGTTGGGCTACGCTGCAGTCGTAAGCCAAGGACTACCTGTGTTTACGTCCGGGAATGTCAGCTCAAAACCCAAGAGAATTGAAGACTCCATATTCCATGAGGGTTTAACAAACTGGGAGCTGGCAACGGCGACTATGAATCTGTGTCCCTGGAAATACAGCTACCTGATTGTCCCTTCCTGGTATTTTTAACTTGGTGGCTTCTCTTCAGATGGTTTTGGCAGCTCCCCCCAAAATTTATGGCTGTCTCTGAGGCAGCCTGGAGGAGCCCCCTTCTGAAGCCCCCGAGAGGCTAGAGAAGTCAACAGAACATACAGTAAATTGCCCTTTCGATGAATGGCTCCTCAGTCTGCAGCCTGCAAAACAACTTCGGCGAGGACACTGGAGTGTTTTCCAGGTTTGTAAGCAAGGTTTCACTTTTTCCTGAGCCTTATCCAGCACAAATGTACATCAGAGCCACAGAGACGATGCTTTGCAGCTGGTCCTGTCCTGTTTTGCTTTGTTTTTTTTTTTTTTTTCAAAAGCCGTGCCTAACGAGCGAAGCGGATTGCCATTTGTTTGGCAGTATATCAAGAGTTGGAAGGGACCTTGGAGGTCCTCTAGTCCGACCCCCTGCTCGAGCACGAGACTCCATACCATTTTGGACAAAAGGTGGCCCAATCTCCTCTTGAAAAACCTCGGACTTCTGGATACGAGCTGATCCACTGATGAATTGTTCTGACTGTCAGGAAATTCCTTAGTTCTAGGTTGCTTCTCTCCTTGGTTAGTTTCCATCTGTTGCTTCCTGTCCTGCCTTCGGGGGCTTTGGAAAATAGGTTGATCACCTGCTTTTTGGGGTAGCCCCTCAAATATTGGAAGGCTGCTGTCATGTCACAACCCCCCCGCCCCCCGAATCTTTTTATTTTCACCAGACTTGGCGCAAGACAGAATGACAGATAAGATAGAGGCAGATGATATAGATGGATGGATGGATGGAAGGAGGGAGGGAGAAAGAGAGATGATAGATAATTGGATGGATGGAGAGAGATGATGGATGATAGATAATTGGATGGATGGATGGAGAGAGAGATGATAGATAGATAGATAGATAGATAGATAATTGGATGAAGATGATAGATATAGATAGATAGATAATTAGATAGTTGGATGGAGATGATAGAGATAGATAGATAATTAGATAGTTGGATGGAGATGATAGAGATAGACAGATAGATAGATG